GTCAGATGTATCAGATTTCTGTATTTTTCGTATCGGATAACGGATCGGGCCCCCGTTAGAGAGAGAGAGAGAGAGAGAGAGAGATCCTAATCCGAGTGGAAAGGCAAACGAAAATCGAAATTGTGCGCGAGCACGTTTGCACGCCACCATCGCAAATAGGCGTTACACATTTATTTATTCTATGTTCGTGTTCGTTCGTTTCCCTCGCGATTTGACTCCCTGTACGAAATGTACGAAAGTTTATGTCTCGATTTTATTCTTCGAACGGCATTGTTCGTGACGGATCAAGGAGTAGGAACAAGGAGGGATCGGCTCTCGGAATGAGAACAACAACAACAAATTCCAACGGCTTCTTCTCATTACAGATTTAATGGGGAAATTTACATTTAGAGGGGATTTTCGAGGCGTTGTTCGTTAATCCGGAAAATGAGATTCGTCGAACACGTTGTGAACACGTATAGACCGATGCCTTTTTCACATTTATTAAAACTGTTATCTATTATTCGATTCGATTGATTTGATATTCTGACGAAAAAATATTGGAATGAAGATTCTATATCTTTGTGAGATACAAGGATCGAGGAAGGATATAATTAGAGTCGTTGATTATTCTTTTTTTTTCAAATTTGGTCGGATATTTATTATTATAAAAAATTTATTAGTATTTAAATTTATTAGCATAAAAAAGGTAAGATAACTTTGAAATTTCATTTCCAGCTTCTGGCAGGCAACAATAATCCATATTCGGAGAAGGAGCAGCTGTTCGACCCGGCGATCGTCGCAACCAAGGTCCGTTTCATCCCCTACACCTCCCACATGCGTATGGTGTGCATACGAGTCGAGCTTTACGGTTGTCCATGGACCGGTGAGTGATATTTATAACCGCCTCCTACGTCTTCCTCCCTCTTATACGTGTCCAACCCTAAATATTGAAAAGAACGCTGCCACGATTTCCAGCATTTTTATCACGTTGGTACTTTTCTTTTTATCGAATCGGAGGAAGAGAAGGAGGAGGAGAAGGAACATCTTATCGATGGAGAGGTGCGCACGAGACGACGTATTTCCCGCGCTATGTCCGTTTCCGGTTTATCATAATTCCGTTCTCTTTCCATCGAGACGATAAATCAGAGATGGAGTCAAAAATTTTGACATTAAGAATCAAGTCACTCGAATAATTTATTATTCAAAGCATCGAATAACTGCAGATAATTGTGGAAAATAATAGAATAGTAATTACGAGTAAATTTATTATTCCAGTAAGTTTTAAATAAAGTTGTTATTTACAGTAATTTTATTCTACGAAATTTCAACTAAATTAATTAATTTAGGTAACGATCAACTCTGCAATTAAATTAAAAGAGTTTGAATACGAAACGAAAGGGGGGTCTTATTCGCGAAATTGGTTTAAACGACGTGGCAATGGAATAACATGAGAAACGGAGGTACATCAAGGTCTCGTGGGCACCCTTTATCCTATCAGTTTCTTATAAGCTCGGAAAGATTCCCGGTTTCGAGTTGAAGGGAGCCGCATTACGGGGGAAGATTTACGAGCTCGATCGATCGATCGGGTGTACAGGTGTGTTGCGTTAATCTGAACCCTCTTGAAAGGATTCTCGAGAACTCCAATGTTCGTGATTATTGCCCTGGATTTGTACGGCAACTGGGCCCCAACGAACGGGGCCCCAATTTGAATCGTCGGTCACAGTAATGTAGATTTGCATTTATGAAACTTTCTATCTTTTTTCTAATTGGTAGATTAAATTCCAAATTAAAAATCTTATTATTATCTTACGTTAAATACTCGGATGATTCATTTGAGATCTAATATATCTGATCAAAATCAAATTAATTAATCAAAATTAACTATCAATCCGAATTTCAAAAAAGTTTTATATTTGAGAAATTGAAAGGAAATTTAAATCTGTATATATTCGAATCAAGAATTCTCAAATCCAATTATGAAAATCAAATTTCATCGCGCCGTCTTTTAAAATTTCTGACATTTCCTCTCTTCCTATTACTATTTCTCACTTTTTGATTCCCGCGAGTGGAAAAAGCAATTGGTAAACATTGCTATATCCCATTATTCCCATTATCGATCCCCCTTTATCGACCGCGCGCGTGGTTGAATGATAGGACGGCAGACGGTTAAAAAAGTGGTTCGAATTATCAAGTGAACGATATTTTCATTGGGGGCGTCGTTACCGGTGAAAAACAGCATCACCGTAAACGACTGCGCCGTATTCAATTTCGGTGGCAGCCGGTGGTGCAATTACTGTAACAAGAACAAAAATATTTTCCATATGCCCCGACGGTGATTGTGTAGTTGAAATTACTGCAATCGTGTCTCTCTCTACACGCGTGCACCTGTACGTATACGTGAGTATTTATATATATATATATATATATTTCTTGGCTCATTTTTTTTTCTCACCCCTTTGTTCGCCTCGCGGTATAAAGCGAAACAACACCATGATAAATATAGATACGGTATTTTTATTGCGCTCGGAATTTATCGCGCCGTTTTATCGGAAAACAAAGGAATAAAAAAAAAACGAAATCGCTGCCATTTCACTACTTTATTTTTTAATGGGATATCTGCAACGGAAAATAAGTTAGAAAAAGTATAATCCTCGTAATAAAGAATTTATTCGATAATAGCTAATTGAACATACGAGCCATGATTTAACACAATTTCTTTTACTATTTTTTTTTTTAATTTTTTAATTTTCGACACCGTTCCATGATTTCGAAATAATGAATTTTTCAGAATCGTCCAAGATAGAATTATAATTTAAGAACTTTTCGTTGAAATGTAATCGAAGTATATCGAATTATTTTTACATCCTTGATAGGATTTTTTGAGATTTTAATCGAATATAAAATGTTCCATTTTTATTCCATTTGTTAATTATGATTATATATATATTTTTTCTTTTTTTGCTAATGGTTAATACTGTCGAGCTTTTAATCTCGTTTCTTCCCAATTCTCGGCTCCGATATTCGTTCCAGTCGAACATTAAGAATGCATTTCGTTATTTTTCGCGCGTCGCCATCGAAACTTGTGCCGTGTCTTTCTTCCATATCGACATCTGTCCATTTCTTCGTCTTCGAATAAAAATTTCTCCGTACGTATCGTGAGAAACACCAGGATTTAGTGGAGCGTTGACGCTTTGATGAGGACGTGCAAAGATTAAATTATTCAATTTCTCCGGATCTCTTCAATAAAAGCTTTTCAAATTAGGAAATCAGATTGAGCTAATAAGTAGAGAAATGGATTTTTATCTCTTTTGAATCGAATATTAAATTAAATCGAGCTTTTAATCCACTCGCCAATTATTACCTTATTTGTAAACTTTCAATCCGTCAAGTGTCAAATATCTCTATATTTATCTCTATATCTTTTATTTTCGTATGATTCGCGACTAAAATCGATCGTCTTCGATTCAAGAATTTAAGATCAGTATTACTGGTTTATTAATTTTAAAAACTTCAGCCGAAACTGTCAATAATTGTTGGACAATTAACGGGTAAAAAAAAGAGATTCGTGAATTCATTCGTTTAATATCATTTACACGAAGCTTTAAACTGTCATTAAACGAATATAAAATTTTCCTTAAATCAATCCAATCTGTCAATCCGTCCAATAACATACGATCCACTTACTTTAAAATTTCTCCATTTAAATCGACATTCGACAAATCAGAATTAGATGAACGTAATTACGAGAAATTTTATCCATTATTTAATTTCATTATTTCGATTTCTTAGCTCAATAACTATAACTATAAGAAGAAAGTCGAACAAAATTCTCAGAAGAAGCCACCGTTGTCCAGATTCGAAAAAAATTTTCCTCTCTCCTTCTCTCTCTCTCTCTCCCTCTTTATTACGTACGTTCCGTTCAACGAGCCGTAATCTTATCACGATTTATAAAGCGATTTATAAAGGAAATGTCTGAAACGTCCTCCTGACGATACATAGATTCACGAGCGACGCCAACACTCGCAACATCCCCCTGTTGTTGCAACCCCTTTTTTGTTCTGGTTGCAGAGGGTCTGGTGTCGTATTCCATGCCCCAAGGAATTAAGAGGGGCTCGGAGGTTGACCTTTCCGACAGGACGTACGACGGCAGGGAAGAAGGAGGTTACCTCTCCGGGGGGCTCGGTCAACTTGTCGACGGGCAAAAGGGCCCTGACAACTTCAGATTGGACAGTGGTAACGGGAAAGGTGAGTTTGCCTCGTGCTCGAACGAGATTAACGCTACACCTTCCTCTCCCCTCTCCCTCTGATCGTGTCCAGATTAGCGCGATAGAACCGTCTTACGTTCCATCCTCGTTTCACGAGTTATCTATCGTTCTTCGTCCTTTGCTCATTGCATCGTTTTTTCCCCGTCTTTTTTCTTTTTTTCTTTTTCCTTCTCGTTTTCTCGAATCTTTATCTTCTTTTTTTTGCTCTCTTTCTCTCTCTTTTTCTTTGTTAATGGACTGTTTCCTCGAGTCTTTTTCCTTCTCATTGCTTTTTCTTTTTTTTCGTTTCGCTCGCTCTTCTTTCTCTTCTCGCTTATTCTCCTCTCTCGTTGTTTCGTTTCGGATCTTTTCTTTTCTCTTTCTTTTTTCTTTTCTTTATCTTTTTTATTCCTCTCTTTTACCTTTGTTTTTCCTTTCGTATTTCTTCTGAAGTTACGCGTAAAAGAGGATCGTTGAAATTCGGCTTGACGGCGGGAGCTAATAAGAAGGAGGAGAAAGGTAAATGTTGTGCAAGGGGGTGGAAAGAAAACAGGATCGTTTCGAGCCAACAGGTTCAATTGGTATTATTTGGCTTTTTCCCGGGGAATTAACAATATTCCTTCAACCCTGTTTTCTCGAGTGTTATTAAATCTCAATTGTAAATTTCTCTTTATTCGTTTCATTGGCGGAATTAAATTCGCCTGGATCCTGGATCGAATCGCGAATGTAAACCATCCTTCAACAACGTAAGAATAACAAAGAAATTGAGATAGAAAGAAAGATTATTCTGTACTTTTTCTGCTCACACTTTGAAAATTGTAATTAAACAAACTACGAATATTTTTCAATATCAATTTCCAGGATTTCGCGAAATATAAGAAGAATCCGATTATATTTTTCAATAATAAAAAAAAATCGCGAAAAGAACGAGAAGAATTTCTTCCTTAAGAAATTCTCCCTCCCTTCGCGCTTCGATCTTCAATTTTATAAGCAGAAGATCGAAAGTAATTCGAACGACTCTACGTCAACAAAAGCCCTCGACGGGTCAGATTCCATCGGTTTGGACGGCGAATAAAATTTTCCCCCGCGTCGATTCCAGGTGTGTAGACCTATCCTCGATAGTGATAAGAGAATTCCAAGATGCTGGGCTTCGAGGTATATATATAAGGTCGGTTGGACCCCCTTTCCTCCTCCGTGTTCCGCTCCACACTCGAATCTGTTCCAATTTACATTTATATTGAACCGCGGCCTAGACTGCGAGCCACGACTGCTGTTTACCGGCTCCCAGGATACATTTGTGTCTTTCCATTTACGGGACGGGAGGGGGGAGCTTACGTACTTTCAGCTTCTTAAACTTTTAAACCCGTCGAGACTGCGTGCACCAATCCTTCCCTCCTTCTTTATTCCCTGTTTAAAACCTTCGTCCCATTCCTGGAATCGAGGAGGACCGGATCGTTCCTCCTCCTCCTTCGTCGTGCAGCTGCATCCCTATTTCTATTTTTGTGAAAGACTCGTGAAAATACGAGGGTTCGAAAGTTCTCTCTATTTTTTTTTATCCTGTATAAGGATTGCCCGTTATATTTCTTCTTGGAATTTATTTCTTGGATATCATTTTTCCGGGAACGAATGATCGAATTGG